GGCGGGGTGAGTTTCCCGTGTGTGTCGTTGAGTGGCGCAAAAGGTAATCCGGGCGCCTTGCGCCCGGTTCCCGCTGGTTGTACGTGCGGGAACGATGCGTTCTTTAAGGGGGTGCATCGTTACAGCTTTAAGTTTAAGAAATACGATGATACCGAGGAGAAAATGAGAGCTATTGTCAATGCTTTTATTGGGGATTCTGAGGAATCTATTAATTAAATCTATTAATTAAACAGTACATTTTATTTAGCATCCACGAGATGCTGAAGCACTTAAAATACCTTATAGAATTAACATTACTGTTATTGTAATCCCTACGAAATTTGGGTTCGATTTTACTGTATCTTTTTGGTTTGCAAGAATATAGAGAATAAAAATTATATATCATAAAAAGAATTATTGTTGCGAATAAAAGACTTTTAAATAAAAAATTTGTTTTCTAAAAATTTTTTCAAAATTTGTAAGTTGTGTGTTTTTTTTAATCAAATCTGGATGTAATAACGATATATAACATTTATTTTTCACTTTCTTTTTTACTTTACATTTTGTGTATGAATAAATATGAATAAATCATAAAATATTCATAAAATGTTCACGAATAAATATTTTTAAAAGCTCACAAGTTTGAATAAATATTTGAACGAATATAAATTGTAGTCCAATTACGAATTTTTTGTATTCATCGGACACAGCTACAACTTCGAATTATAGAGGCAGCGGCAATAGAAGTTCGACTTATAGAAGTCTGGCTACTTTAAATTTAAGTTACAGAGGTAAAATATAATATACATTTAAATATCTGACAAATAATTCGAATTAATTAAGGTAGGTATTATTTCGATTTATAGTGGTTTTCCGGAGCGGAATTAAGAAAATGAACAAAATTTTCGTCTTAAGTTTCGAGTTGTAGAGATTCGAGTTATCGAGATTTGACTATAATAGAATGTACTGTCAAACCTGGATAACTCGAATCTCTTTTTTTTTGTACGTGGTGTAAAAATCTTCTAAAGACCCCCTGCGCCTGTAACAGGGGAGTGTGGGGTTCACCTGGCCAGATGACAAGGCCTAGGCGCCTACCCACTAAAAAATCACCACGAAAGAGTCCAACAAGACCGGGAAATGAGGGTGATCCCGGGACCACCGAAGGGCATTACTTCAGGGTTAACTCGAGTCTCTAGGGAAGGGCTAAAATCTTCGAGTTATGGAGTTTTCGATTTATCGAAATTCGAATAAAAAAAGAGGGCGATTTAATATATGAAAATTTGACTTACGGAGGCTTTGTACGGGAGTTTATAATTTTTTTGTTTAATTTAATTTTTTTTATAATGGCTTTCAAAGGAAAAAAATCAATGTATAACAGTGAATTATTTATTGCATACATATAAATGTAATTATAGAATAAATACGAGGCTATTACTCATGGCTACACAGATAGCTCCAACTTCGAATTATAGAGGCAACGACAATAGAAGTTTGACTTATAGAGGTGAACTTTGAATTTGTAGTGGTCTGGCTACTTTAAATTCGAGTTGCAGAGGTAAAATAATACATTTAAATATCTGACAAATAATTCGAGTTAATTCAGGTAGATTTTATTTCGATTTATAGTGGTTTTCCGCAGCGGAACGGAAGGGAATGAACAAAATTTTCGTCTTACAAAGGTTTTCGAGTTATAGAGGTTCGACTGTCAAGAGAAACGGAAAAATCTTATCGAATAATTCGAGTATTGAGTCCAATTCCAAGTGTCCAATTAGATCAAATTAGAATACTTGGACTCCATTTCCGAATTCACGGGCTAAGAGAAACGCAGAATTAAATTAAGCTTAAGATTGTGAAACCATAACGATGCGATATAACATCATACTTAATCCGTATATTAATACACGGCGATGGACACCGCGATAGGCACCGTAATAAGCAACCCGTTCGTGTACATTGACGTTACCGTTGGTAGCTGTCCTCACGTGACATTAAGGCGATCATTAGCGATGTCGAACGACGCACGTCGGTGAAAGGATCGACGATGAATAGCCAGGCGAAGCGTATAGTTAAGAGTATCCCGTGGAGAGAATTCTAATTTATGTGATCTCCTCCTTCTCGGCTCATCGAACGCGGTACGCGCGCGCACTACGTTAGCGTACCTCGGAAACGTATTCCAAGGGATCGCATATATTTTCTCTCTCTTTCTCTTTCTCTCGATTTATCGACGTTTACAGTCGGTTTCGATCGTTGACAGCCGCTTATTGCGCCGTTTCCGATGCCGGGATCACCGCGACTTCTTGCGCTAACGATCTCGGCTACTTATTTATTGTCATTGCAAAAATATATGTATGTACATAAATCAAAGAGATACCGTGACGAGCAAATTGCCTTACGTAGATAGAAAAACAATACGCGTTTACTTTTATTTACAGCAGTTTTATATATTTAATTTTAAAATACAGTTATTCAGCAATATTTTCTCTATGATATTCAAGCGTAAATTATGTAATGAACAAACCGCTTATATATATATCATCGGTATCGCTTTTTTAATGAGAAAAGATTATGAAACAATTAGAAAAATCGCGAAAAATTGTTAAGAAATTTAAAAGGATACAAGAATTGTAAAAGTTAGAAAAATCAAATATCAAGGATATTCATAATAATAAGGACAGGCTATTCATTTATCGGAGTCTTTTTTTATATCTTGTTGTATTAAGAAACGCAATTTTTTTTGGCTGTAAGTAAAAGATTACGTAACTTGATTATCTCGCCCGAAATTTGCATGTTAATAGGCAAATATAATATATAGTTTTATATTTCTTTAAATGTAACAAAATGTCTCTTGAGCAGGGTTGGGTAAGTTAATATATTTTTTTAACTAAGTTAAGTTAAAGTTTAACAAAAAAATTTAACAAAAATCTAAAAATTTAACTTAGTTAAGATACAAGTTAGTCCGTAATAAAATTATTTGAGTTAAAAGTTAAGTTAATAAAAAAAAGTAATTGAAAAGTTAAAGTTAAATTATTTTATTTTATAATTTTAGAGTTTCTAAATAAAGTTTCTACTTTATTTAGAAACTCTAAAATTATAAAATAAAAAAATTTAACTTTAACTTTTCAATTACTTTTTTTTATTAACTTAACTTTTAACTCAATTAATTTTATTAGAAATTTGTTATACTTATTTTTGTCGAGCCGCGGAAAGAGGACCGATTTCGAAGGACTTCTTGCAACGTGATTTAATGAACAGAAAGTCCGCGAACAGTGATTCCTTCCCGCGGTCAGATTATATTTATTATATTATTACAATTGCCTTGATGTGTGTTCTCAAATTTGAGTTTGAAGACACTAACTTAGACATGATATTTATTTTGGGTTTACAAGAAGCTCTAAAAATGTAACTTCAAGAAAGTTAGATCAAAAGTTATAATAGTTACCGATAAAATGTAACTAAATTAAGTTAAAAGTTAAGAGCCTAAAATGTAACTAAGTTAAGTTAAAATTATTTAACTTTTTAACGTTTAACTTAACATTTTATCTTTTTAACTAGCCACTACCCAATTCTGTTCTTGAAAAACAGAATTGACTAGCAGCGTAATCGTGACAAGTCGTGATCGAAAAACGAATGAAATTTGCAGCGGCGAAACTTGGTGAGGTATGTTACGAGCACGCTCACTGCCGTCTCTGGGATCCCGAGTCGCACTGCGACTTTCTCATTCCGGATTTATTTGGTCGCTGCCAATGCACCGCTCCGATGCGTCGCGAGGGCAACGTGTGCCGTCCTGACAGTCTCGTGAGGCCCGCACCGCTTCCGGCGCATCTACCTCCTACTCGGGAACCGATAATAGAAGACGTCACTGAGAGCGGACGCGATAAGGAAACTGTCGCTGAAGAACAGAAAGGCGATACCGAAGGAGAACAAGACACAGGTAATTGGAATTGGACCGGCTATGTATATCATTTAAGTAAAATAAATATAAGTTGTGTTAAAAATGTTAAAATATTTGCACTAATAATTTAACCCATTAACGTCCAAGCGGACACATTTTTTTAACAATTTTCAGTGGCTTAATTTTTTATTTTAATGGCCTTCAAAAAATTCAAGCAACATCATTTCTAATGTAAAATTTCTTGCTCTTTCAGAATCTGCCATCAGAATTTGTCAAAAATAAATTCCAAAAAAGTTATAGTCGATTTTTTGGAAAAAAACTGTGATTTTTCACTCAAATTTTTTTTTAAATTGATATTTTCACATCGAAACGACATTAGGATGGTCTTGAGCAGTCAAAATCGCATTCACGAACTTTAAACTTTAAAACGTATATATTTCGAAATTCATGATGGCAGATTCTGAAAGAGCAAGAAATTTATCCGAAATGATGTTGCTTGCATTTTTAAAGGCCATTAAAATAAAAAATTAAATCACTGAAAATTGTTCAAAAAATGTGTCCGCTTGGATGTTAATGGATTAAGGGGTTATATACACCCAGACACGTCAAAACAGGGTCTAACTTTGCGAATTTTTTACGGAAAAACGAAAAGAGATAGAGAAGTCGAGTTTGTTTCATTAAAAAGATCATATATTTTTTTAAATATATATGTATATTTGATTAAAAAATTATTTAAAAAATGGCCTCGCTATTTGAGTTTTTCTTAGACATGTTTTGAAAACGGCTTTTGCGGTGACCACTGCTGCTCTTACAGGACTCATTTGAAAGCAAAATGCAACGAGTTATATAAAGTTAAAACATAGATCTACTTCCCTACGTAGCCGTTTTTCAAAATATTGCATTCAAACAATATGGCAGCTGGTAAAAGCCAAAATAGCGATTTGTCACTTTAAATCTTGCTTGTTTTTTGGCTACGAAAAAAAAACGAAGGTTTGTAAAAAAAATTCTACGTAGGGAAGTAGTTTTTAACGTCTAGAGAAAGCGTGTAAAATTGCAAATTAATCGTTCAAACCATTTTCGAGATATATAGTGGTCACGCGTTTTGAAAACCACGTTTCGAAGAGAAAAACGCATTTAAAGTTTTACATTCAAATTACACTATACAAATATTAAAAATTTTACTTACATTGAATCATCTACTCCATAAAGCAAACCCTCTGCTTCCAAAAAATCGCTTTATGATCCGGTCGCAAACATGACGCAACAGATCATGTTTGACACGCTCAGCGCGCTTAAATCTACTCGACTATAATTTCGTGTAACTGTTTCATCTCTCGTCGGATCGACTTAAAACTTTACAAAAATATTCTTAAGATATCATACTTTAAAAATATGTATTTAAAAAAATCGATTTTTTTTACGTCTCTAGATGTATATGCCCTCTTAATACAATAATAAATTCCTATAAGATTCCCGATATTAAAACTAACAATATAAGAATGCGATTGGAATCAGACGCGATTAATAATACGCAGTTTAAATTAAAAAACAAAGAGTTTTACTCTTACATATATTTCAAACGTTTATATGAGCCGAAACATTTGAAATATATGTAAAACTTTTTGTTTTTTAATTTAAACTGCGTATTATTAACCGCGCCTGATTCCCATTGCCTTCTTATATTGTTAATTATTTAATAATTTTTATTTATTTTTTGTGACGAAAATTAATTCAGACATGAACACAACTCGTCGTGTGTAGTAAAAAAAAATCGAAAAATGATGTCTATAAAGATTAAAATTAACTGTAAAACTCTTTGTTTTTTAATTTAAACTGCGTATTATTAACCGCGCCTGATTCCCATGCCTTCTTATATAGTTAATTATTTAATTATTATTTATTAATTTTTATTTATTTTTTGTGACGAAAATTAATTCAGACATAAACACAACTCGTCGTATGTAGTAAAAAAAAATCGAAAAATAATGTCTATAAAGATTAAAATTAACACTTGTAGCACAAAAAAAGAGAGGTGCGCGCGAAGAAATTATTTCTTATCGCAACGAATCTCAAAGAATCATTCTATTGTAGACACAGAAATTAGTTTCATTAGTTATATATTCATATTTAATTTCGTCTAATGTTTTTTAATTTTCTTAGAGAAGATTTGCTTCCAGTGTAAGAAGAGAATCTTGTATTTTCTTGTGTGAAAACAGAGCTTTGAGATTATCGTGTAATCGGGACTGTATTCTAAACTTTGTACTCCATCGAGCGCACAAACTTGTAACGAGCTAGCACGTGGTTACCTCTGACTCCTCCGTAAGCCACTTAACATTCCCATGGAGTAATCCTTGGATGCGTACAGGAATTGTATCAGGCTGCATCATCACCTCTCTAGGTTTCACGCGCCTTTTATCCGGTAATCAGCTTTTCCGTGGTGTACACGGGACGCAACGGGATCGCCCGCGAGACCGAACGGTTTCGTATTCCGGCCCGAATGCGGTCGGGCAGATTAACGAGATGAGGCGATCCGCATTCTTAATTAGCGCGATCATTAACAAAACACGAATGGCATTTCTCTGCGTACAAAAAAGCCTGCAACATGGACTGCGATCACAAGTGATTACCACACGCGAAATCTCATTACCTTCTATCATCATTTTCAAAGACTTTCCAGTACGTTAGATATTGATGTGTTATAAATTATAATAATGTGTTAATTATTATAATTATAATTATAATAAGCTAATAAACACTATGCTTATTTGATGATAAGTAGAAATCGATGGTCTGATGAGAAGAATTTATTGCAAAAAATTCATTCCGCCCCAATCAGAATTCGAGAATCTGGACTTCCTTTATATATACATTTCGTAAAGGAGTAATATTATGACTCGAGCTTCAGATTGGGACTGCGTTTCAAGACAGATAAATAGTCGGTGCGCGCAGTAACATAATATAAGTAAATAGAAAACGCCTTCATCGATTAAAGCTGTTTTTGGTGTTTAAATAATAATATTTTTGTGTGAATTTATATTCCTACATTTTTCCAGTTTATGCAAAATTGGAATAATAATTATTTAATAATTTACATTTTCCAGTTTATGCAAAACTGGAAAATGTAAGTAAATTCACGCAAAAATATTATTATTTAGACACCAAAAACCGCTTCAATCGATAAAGTCTTTATTTACCTATGTTACTTGCGTTATTTATAGCTTACATTACTAGCTATGGTTATAAACGATCTCTTTTAATATCTCTTGCCTTGGATAGGTGTTCAAATATCTTGGTTAAAGAACGCAACGATGCTTTTGTCGACGGAACCTCCCAGTCAATTGATACCGGTGAATCTGGTGACGAGGCCGTCATTGAACTTGAGACCCGGCTCCAACAATCGTCCCGGACCAAACGAGCTTCCCGACGATGATGATGCTGTCGTTATCGAGGCGGAAGTTACTGAACTCGTTCACGTTACGACGACCTCGACAACTTCCGGTAAGAATCATCAACGTTCTTGTATTTTAACCCTAAGTATACACAGTTTTTTTGACAACGTCGTATACACACTGGGATCCCGGGGACCCCATCCATATTTATTACTGTAACTCTAATAAAAATGGACATATTTTAATTAATTTTTTTTCAATCGATAAAGAATCGACCAAGGAACAAGCCTATAATATTTAAAAATCGATAGAATTAAGGAGCTTCAAGATATACGGGTTTAAAGAAAAAGGAAAATTCAAAAACGCGAAAAAATCTTGATTTAGTATCTTTTTTCAAAAATTCATATCTTTTTTGTTTATAGACCGATTTGAAAGATCCTTGAAAATTCTGAAAAGGTATACTTGAAATAGTAACAAAAAAATTTGGCGATCCGATATTTTAATTTTTTCAAATTTTTCAACAAAACTGCAAGCAGTCCTGGGAACCTCACGCTCACTTTAACTGTTCACTGCTCGGTTGTTGAGCGACAATTGCCGCGCGTCAATACGTCTTCTTACTGAGGAGATCTCAAACTTTTTTTACGTCAATATCCCAAATCCCTCCCCTTCCAATTTCAGAAATGCCCAGGGTTGGATAAGTTAATATATTTTTTTAACTAAGTTAAGTTAAAGTTAACAGTCTAAATATTTAACTTGGTTAAGATACAAGTTAGTCCATAATAAAATTAATTGAGTTAAAAGTTAAGTTAATAAAAAAAAGTAATTGAAAAGTTAAAGTTAAATTTTTTTATTTTATAATTATAAATAAAATTTCTAAATAAAGTATATATTTGTTATACTTATTTCTGTCGAGCCGCGGAAAGAGAACCGATTTCGAAGGATTTCTTCCAACGTGATTTATTAATGCACAGAAGGTCCACGAACAGTAATTCCTTCCCGCGGTTAGACTATATTTATTATATTATTACAATTGCCTTGACGTGTGTTCTCAAATTTGAGTTTAAAGACACTAACTTAGACATGTATTTTATTTTGGGTTTACAAGAAGCACTAAAAATGTAACTTCAAAAAAGTTGGATTAAAAGTTAATAGTTACCGATAAAATGTAACTAAATTAAGTTAAAAGTTAAGAGCCTAAAATGTAAAGTTAAGTTAAAATTATTTAACTTTAACTTTTTAACTTAACTTTTATCTTTTTAACTAGCCACTACCCAACCCTGGAAATGCCAAACCGAGAAAGTTTTGCTGGGGTCTCGGAAACCCCAGTGTGTATATCTAGAGTTAAAACACGTATCTTTTTTTTTTTTTAATAACGAAACGAAAAATTAGAAAAACCTGCACGCTGGGCGTATTTGGAGCGTGAAAAATTAAAAGCTTCGCGATCTCGATTCTCGCGACTGACGCCGCAATTCAATCTGACTTTTTCCTTCTCTGGGCCTTTCAGCGCCAATAAAGACAGACCGTCACGAGAGCACGATAATGACAGCTGTCAGCCTGGGGCTGCCATGCATCGCCGATCTGGAGTGCCGTATGGCCGATCCGATGTCGCGATGCATCGGCGGCGTGTGCGACTGCGGCTTTCCGACGAACGGCAGTTATTGCAACGCGCGGCGGACTGGCTGCGCGCCGGGCACGTTTCAGTGCCGGTCGTCCGGAAGCTGCATCAGCTGGTTCTTCGTCTGCGATGGCCGCGCCGATTGCGCCGATGGATCCGACGAGGAGTGCACCGGTCCACGCTGCCCGGCGCAGGCATTCAGATGCAACGACAGTAACGTCTGCATATCGAGGTCCGGGCTGTGCGACGGCAACCGCGATTGTCCTCGCGGCGAGGATGAGATCGGCTGTAACAATCGGCGAAGTTGGTATCCACGCGCCTCTCTCGCACCTCTCCTTTGTTGTAAATTATCACTAGAATTCAAATATTTTTGCGATATACGTGTATAGATATGGTGGTTAAAAAGATATGTGTGCGCGTGATTTTTTTCTCGTACTATATTGAAAACCCTTGATTACTTCTTGAGAAAATTTTCTCCCGGATCTCATTTAAAGTATATTTGAGACCGGCGCTATTTTTATATTATTCTAAATTTTTCTCCCACAGCTTCTGTTTCAAATAAACATAATTTATATTTTATTATAAAATTAAAAGTATCCTTTTTCGATCACTGACACTGGGATCTTCCAAAACTTTCAAAACAATATGACAAATATGAACAATAGATGTACCTTCGCGACAATAGGTTACATAATTCCGCACACTATCACATGTATCGAAAACGATTTTCGGAGTTTACGAGGAACAAATTAAAAATCTTAAAGAAAAATCGGGAACAATTAAAAAATTTCTAACGAAAAATCACTTCCAAAGGTTTTTATTTGAAGCAGAAGCTGTGGGAGAAAAATTTGGAATAATATAAAAATAACCGGTCTCAAATATACTTTAAAAGAGGTCCGGGAGAAAACTTTCTCAAGAAGTAATCAAGAATCTCCGATCCTAAGCAATTACTAAAAACCTACTGGTCGAAGAAAAATTATTTCGAAAAAATCTGTTTCAAATAAATAAATAAAAACGTTATCAGAAGTCAAAAGTGCTCATGATCACATTCTATCATTTTCTATAGTTATACATTAAAATGCTTTCTTAGCAGAGTAACAAGGATAGAGTAGATTAGTCTTTTATCGTAATTCAAAAAAGAATTTTGCTGGATCCAGAACTGAAAATAATTTTTGTTTAATAATCAAAATAATTTTGTAGGAATGTCAAAATAATTGCTAGAATATCAAAATGTTTTATAGTGATGCTTATCATTTTTAACATTCCATTAAAATTTTTTGATGATTCAACAGAAATTAATTTTCAGATCTGTATTCAGCAAAATTTTTAGATCTTTCAACAAAATCGTTCTTTCCATGTTGCTATATCGTATATATTTTACTTTTCTGGAAAAGAAAAACGTAAAGATTTTGCCTTATACATTTTCCCACGTAGTTCTAATGTTGAACTTTAATTTACACGTGAAATTTCTCGACACCTGTGCAGAATGTCCCGAGGGTGCGTTCAGATGCAACAACGGTCAGTGCCTGCCGGCGTACGAATTTTGCAACGCGGTGGTCTCCTGCAGGGACGGCAGCGATGAGCCCAGGGGAGCGTGCAGGACGCGCAATCGCGGCCGAATCACCGCGAGATACTGCCCGTTTAGATGCGACAACGGAAGGTGTCGTTCCGACGCGATAACTTGCAGCGGCCGGGACGGGTGTGGCGATGGTTCCGACGAAAAGCGCTGCAGCGTCTGCAGTAAGTACACTTTCGTAGAAAAGAGGAAGATTTAAGATATGCGACGAAGAATGGCGCGCTGTAAAATGGCAGAGGAGTTCGTCTGACTGATTGTATAAATAAAACAAGAGCTTGTCAAAACGCTAAATGTAAAATCGCGCGGTCTTTCTCGAGATTATCATTTCTCTCTCTCTCTGTACACTGAGAGAAAAGATATACTAATGGTAACAAAAACAGAGAATTATTCACAAAAGTCAAGTTTTATTCTAAAATTTTGTTAAAATAGCAAAATATATAATTAAATAAGTAAAATTTGGTATAATTTTTTATTTAACAAC